GAAGCCGGATGGCTTAAAATTTCAGAACAAGAGTGTCTTGATCAACATTTTGACATTTATGACTTTTCCGTCGAGACATAAAAAAGTGAGAGATTACAATAAAGAAGTTTTGCAGTACGAAAATTCAGGGGGATAGCCTTAAAGGATGTACGAAGGAGAGGAAGGAGGAGATCTGGCAAAAGCCCCTTTGAAAGAGTAGGTAAAACTGTTTCACAAAATTTTGGAGTCGAAACGCAGTTGAACAGTCAAGCGTATGAAGGAGTTCAAACTGAAGAAACCAGACGTTGAAATTCAAATTAGGAACTCAGCAACACTTCGAAAAGTAAATGAGAAGTCGGTTCGCTAGTCTTTTTTGGATCAGAAAACCAGTTTTTTAAGGTTTTAAGGTCAAAAGCAAGCTGAACGGCCTAGGAAGTTTATATTCGGCATTAGCGTCAAATACTCCATCGAATGGTATAGTTGGTATCGCTACAGAATCAATTTGAATTTTTGACTGTTTCAGGCAGAAATCCGGATAAAAAGACCTGATGCAGGATTCACATCAGACTCATCATTCGATGGAACTTTTTGACACAGATGTTGAATATGATGTTTTTGGGGTCGATCTCAAAAGACCATGAGAGACACGTCATTCGATGTGCAATGCAACGCTAATCACGAATATAACCATCCGCCAGCTTGAAAATGCATTTTGAGCGAGAAAAAAATCATTTCTCGTCGAAGGTGCCTTTCGCTCTTTCCCGAAGTTTGGCCTGCTGGAACGACAAAAAGTGTTTGGAAAGTTGCAAAGTAGTCGACAATAAGTGAAATAGCCGGCTGATTATATAATGAAAAAACGTTTTAGACATCGTTAAAAGATCAAAAACGTCAAATCACCTGCAAAATGCTTGAAAATCGCCTCCGTTCTGGAACTGTTTCTCACACTGTGGCCCCCTGGTTTCAGGAAGGGTAAAGTCAAACTTGGCTAGTATAGCTAACTTTTGATATCCTATCGACTCGCATTAACAGAAAAGCGGAAAAAAGGGAGCATCAGGTCCTCCCACATCCTTTGAGTTTTCAAATTTAAATTCATTTTTTTTAAGTTCAGCTGTGCACATCTACGTGCTCTTTCGACGGAGACGTTCCTTGACACCCCTTGCGACTGAAAACGGCGGAAGAAAACGTAAAATACTTAAATTTCGATTTCTGAAACTGCCGTTTTTGTGTATCCCATAACTCTGAGAAAAACGATCTAAAAATGTTTTCGCCCCCGAAATTCAACAAGGAATCGAATGAGTTAATAAAAAGAACATGTTTTTCGTTTTCTTTTTGTGTGTCGCCGAATGCTTAGTCTTCTTGCAATTCTTCACTTAAAATTTGAAAGACTTGGTATGTTTGAATTGTGAAACAGTGAAATTTTTCAGTAGAATCGCAGTAGCGTTCGAGCTATTAAGTTTGCATCCAAGGTAAAAGACTTGACTTGCTACAAACCTGTTTGTCAGACAAATCGTGACTAATTTTGGAAACAACGGTCACCAGTGATGAAACAAACGGGCGAGAATCGTCAAAGTATTTCTCCATGAAACTCATGTTTTAAGAGAAAAATAAGGCCACATTCGGAATTATCATTGAAAAATTTGTTTTCTAACTATTTTTCTGCTAAATTTTCATCCAAAACAGTTTAAAAAGTGTTTTTTTCCATTTTACTAAATGCAACTGAAAAACTGTTTCAAAACGCAAAAATATTTCTCTTTAGAAAATTTTTATTTTTTGAACGTTGCGGACTTCCAGAGAGTCTAAACGATGGACTTTTCGCAGACTTCATCTATGGATACTCCACAATTAAAATGTGGCAGAAATACGCCCACGACGATGAATTAAACTCTTCTGCAAACATTGGAAAAATACATCAAGAGCTGAGCTATTTCTATCGAGACAAGTTAAAAGACAAGAACCTAGAAAATACTCACTACAATCAGGCAATCAAGTGGTACAGCAGCGCTCTTGAAAAGTACAACACAAATCCAGCAGAAGTAGCTACAGTATACGAATCCATAGCTGTGGCTTATCGATTGAAAATGCAGATAGAAGACGATGATAAAACAGCAAACGCATTAGCAGCAATTGAACATCAAGAATTATGTATGCAGCAATTGTTAATATACTGTTCGCCGAATCGTAAGAAAGTCGGTGATGCACTTAAGGAACTGGCGCAAACCATCGGTCTTTGGGACGAAGGAGTGACGAACTCTCAGAAAGCTTTGGATATCTATATCTATCAGAATAGTTGTTATAATTATGACGACATAGTATCCTTATGCACCGGCATCGTTGGCATCTATACTCATCAGAAAGGAGAAAATTATGCTCCAGCACTGAAGTATCAGTTGTTGAAGCACGAGTTCGAAGTGAAGCAATTGAATGAGATCGTAGAAGATGATGGTGAAGATCAAGTCTATCATAAGCACACAGGCATTGGCTGGAGTCACGAAGAAGTGGCTGATATGTATATAAAATTGGGGGAGTACGAGTTAGCTTGTCAGAATTTACAGTTAGCAAAGAAAATATATGAAGGGAGTGATCCAAATGATAGAGAGGAATTAAATTACTATCTTGAAGAGAAACTGAGAAGTATAGAATCGTTTTTAGGAAAATAAAATGAACAATTTTGCCATGAAAGAGTGTCTTGTTACTAATGAAGTTAGATATCGTCTATTTCGGCATTGTGGGATAAACGTTGCACGGCCAGTCCAGCTAACGGTAGCATTCGAGACAGGGAGTTCGATCTAAAATTTCAAACAAGTGAGTCAGCCTCCAGAAAGAGTACTGTCGACTCTGTGTAACCGATGTTCAAAGTTCTTCAATATGCTTCTTGTTGGCGCTACAGTGTTGTTGCTTTTTATCGGTTCGGACAGCAATAGAAATTTT